TGCATGATGTCGTCTCGCATGTTTGGCCAGAAGTACCCTTTCTTTATTAGAGCGTATGTTCTTTGCCACCCAGGGTGTCCAGCCCATAAGGTATCATGACATTCCTGAATGAGCTTCTTCCTCAGTTCTCCCGTTCTTGGGACATACAATCTGTTTCCTTTTGTCATCAGAAGGTCTCCCTCAACCCAAAACTGTCGTGTTTTCCCAGCTTTAGCTAGTTCGACGACGGCTTTGGCCGATGGGTCTTTATGTAAATGTTCCTTGATGATGTCGTGCATCGATCCATCGATCTTACTTGAGTGAATATGGGCTAACATGCACAGGGCCGCATGTTCGCCCTTCCGACTCAGTGCGTCGGCTGCTTGATTACTCTTCCATGCTTTATGTTCGAACTTGAAGTCGAATTCAGCCAACGACTCCTGCCACCGGGCTTGTTTTGCCGTCAATTTTGGTTGATCAAAGAAGTGGCAAATGGCGCTGTTATCCGTCTTCACTACGAACTGTGATCCCAAGAGATATTGTCTCCAGACTCGAAGGCAATGGACTACTGCCAGCATTTCTTTTTCGGAGACAGTGTATCTACGTTCAGCGTCATTGAGCTTTCGACTTTCGAAAGCGATGGGGTGGCCTTCTTGAATAAGGACCCCACCTAGGGCAAAGTCGGAAGCGTCTGTTTCTATTTCAAATGGCTTTGTAACATCTACCAATCCGAGGACAGGACCCCTCGTCATGGTTGTTTTCAGATCTTCAAAGGCCATTTGACAATCATCTGACCACGACCAAGTGTGGTCTTTCTTCAACAGCTCTGTCAATGGGGCGGCTCGTCGTGAAAACCCTTCGACGAACCGCCTATAGTAGTTGGCTAATCCTAAGAAGGACCGCAAATCGGATACGGAAGTAGGAACCTTCCATTCTTGGATAGCTTTTATCTTATCGCTATCCATACTAATCTGTCCACATCTGACGACATGTCCAAGGAAGTTGATGCATGTTTGTGCGAATGCACATTTCTCTTTCTTGACATACAGTTGGTTTTGTCGTAGCTTGTTGAACACCAGCTTCAAGTGCACTCTGTGCTCCTCTAGAGTTGTGCTGTAAACCACTATGTCGTCGAGGTATACTATGACAAACTGATCCAAGTATTCGTAGAAAACTTGGTTCATCAACGTGCAGAAAGTAGCTGGAGCGTTTGTCAAGCCAAAGGGCATTACTAGGAATTCGAAGGCCCCATATCTTGTTACGCACGTCGTCTTGGGCTCGTCCCCTTCGGCAATACGTACTTGGTAATACCCTGATCGTAAGTCCAACTTCGTGAAGTACTTGGCCCCGTGAAGTTGGTCGAACAAGTCGGATATTATCGGCAGTGGATATTTGTTGCGTACCGTCACCTTGTTTAAGGCTCTATAGTCTATGCACAGACGCAACGTCCCATCCTTCTTCTTCTGGAACAGTACGGGGGCTCCATAGGGTGCCTTTGCCGGGCGGATGAATCCCGCCTTCAGCAACTCATCCAGTTGTTTCCTTAATTCGGCTAGCTCGGGCGGAGCCATCCGGTATGCGTTCTTCGCTGGCGGTTTAACTCCGGGGATGAGTTCGATTTCGTGATCAATGCCTCGACGAGGTGGTAATGTTTGGGGTAAGCTCTCTGGCATTATGTCCGCATAGTCGTTTAGTACCTCATTCATTTCATTTGGGACAGATTCTTCGGTGGTTGTTACTTCCATCAATGGTATGGCCATAAATGTGGGTTCCTCTCGTGCGAGTCCCCTTTTCAATTGTATGGCCGAGATCATTCGAAGATTACCTGGTTGCTTGATGCTTGCAGGTATTACTGTGGGGTTGCGGTCGGTGATCACTAAGCATCTTGCCAGCGGCATTGGGATAACTTTGTGTTCTTGAAGGAACTCCATCCCAAGTACCACGTCAAAGTCGTCCATGCGAGCTACGACAAGATCTAGCTCTCCTGTCCAATCCCCTATTTTAAAGGGGACTCTTTTGGAAACTCCCACAATAGGCAAGGCCTCAGAGTTGACAGCTTTAATTTTTCCCGGGTCCTTTCCTATAGTGAGTCCTAATCTTCGGGCTTCTTGATCAGCGATGAAGTTGTGGGTCGCTCCTGAATCTATCAGAGTGCTCCTATTCGGTTGGGAATTTATTGTCGCATCTACGAACATGAGTCCTTTCTCTACTATCTCCTTCGGTTCGACCTTCCGTTGGAGCGCTGACAAGAATTTAAGTGCGCCCATTCGGGGATTGTCTTGATCTTCCTTCTTGTCAAGCATAGTCTCAACCCTTGCGTCATTGCTCTCTTGAATGGACACTTGGAGCGCAGTGAGAGAGGCCCGATGAGGACAGTAAGATACCTTGTGGGGACCTTTACAGAGCATGCATTGTAAAGGCGTCGTCGGGTGGTTCCTTTGATGGTAAGGTCCTCGAGATGTCCCCGCTTGGTTGTTCTGTGGAGGTCTATCCGTCCATCCGCTTGGTCTGTCGTTACCTC